GTTCGTGACGCATGGGCGGAGGCTGCCTGGAGAGCAAGGGGCTAGCGGCCACTGACTATCGGGGGCGCTCGGGGCCAGTGCGGAGCAGATCACTCCGGCAGGGAACCCGGGCAAGGGGCGCTGACGGGGCCAGCTGGGAGGGGACTGGGATTATGGGGTTGCTCGAAGCGCGTCCCGCTGGACCCCAGAGGGCCCGTCCCCAACTCACTGCCGAGGCGCAGCGCGGTCTTGGCCAGAGGCAACATGCCGACGACTCCCAGGCGGCCGCGCTTCTTCACCTTATATCCTTGGCGGCGGTGAAAAACAAAATGGTGGCCAGCCCGGAAGTCCGCACGCTGCGCATGCGCCCCGACCAGCGCAGCCTGGGAAATGTATTTCTAGTCCTTGGCCGAGCGCGGCCCCATGGCGTTATAGGAAAAGCAGCCCCCCCAGCCACATGCGGCGAAAGTGGCGGCTCGGGACCCCTATGGGTCCACCACAGTCCCTACGCTAGCAATGCTATTAGCCGCGGGGCTACGAGGAGTAGCGTTAGCAGCTCGGGCTCTATGCTGAAAAATAAGGATCCTGCAGCTGCGCTTGCTACCAGCAGTGTCAGGATGGCCGAGTGGTCTAAGGCGCCAGACTCAAGGCTTAGTGTGCCTTCCTCTTCTGAGGGCTGGGTGTTCTGGTCTCCGTATGGAGGCGTGGGTTCGAATCCCACTTCTGACACATTTTTTTTTTCTTGGTCGGTTTTTGTGTTTGAATTTGTAAAACACCCCGGTTAACTGTAATTTAGCAGAAAGAGTTTTATTGTGCACACCTCTAGCAATAGGGATCACGCATGCAGACAAGAATCAACATATTATAAGAGACTGTGGCTCCCCTTGATGTTCATTATATAATCAGCAATGTCCTTTATATATATTGAAATACAGATCAATCATAGTAAAGATACAGATTTAAATTCTATTGTTCTTGAACAATTCTTACTGAGAGATTTTAATTTAGTAGCCATTACATATGCAAGAGTTTACATGATTAAGTGTTCAAATAATATACCATGATATATAAAAATATATGTATACTACATCCCATCTCGTCCTCAATATTGCTAGCTAGATATAGATACATGCATGATAGTGCCGTCTTTTATAGAATCATAGACTACTAGAATTGGAAGGGACCTTGAGGGTGCCTCTACACTGCAGCATAAGTAGAAATAAGATATGCAATTTGAGCTATGCAAATTGCTTATCTCATTATGATGCTATTTTGAAATAGCTTATTTTGTCAATTTCAAATAAAGTGCTATTCCAAAATGCCTCTTACTCCTTGGAGAACGAGGTTTACAAGGGCACTGGAATAGTGAGTCCAAAATAATGGGCTTGCTATGAAGAGGCAGGATAGTTATTTCGGAATACTCTGATATCCCGAAATAGTGTTGCAACGTAAATGTACCCTCAAAGATCATCAAGTCCAGTCTCCTGACCTTAGGGCAGGATCAAGAACCATCTGATCATCCCTGAGGGTACTCTACACAGCAGGGCTAAAGTTGAATTAAGCTACGCAATTTCAGCTATTTCAACTGCGTACCTTTAGTCGAAATAGCTTAATTTGGCTTTTGGCGCTGTCTACACAGCAGGAAGTTGAAGGAAAAATACTCTTTCTTAGACTTCCCTTACTCCTCGTGAAATGAGGGTTACCATGAGTTGGAGTAAGAAATCCTCCAGCTCGACAATATTTTGAAATAAAGACTTGTAGTGTAGACGCACACTATGTTATTCCAAAATAACTTCAGCTATTCCTAAATAATGCTACTGTGTAGATATAGCCTGATAGATGTCTATCCAACCTGCTGTTAAATATCTCCAGTAATGGAGATTCCACAACCTCGCTATGCAATTTATTCCAGTGTTTAGCCACCTCAACAGTTAGGAAGTTTTGCCTAATGTGCCTAAACCTCCCTTGCTTGCAATTTAAGCCCATTGCTTCTTGCCCTATCATCAGAGGCCAAGGAGAACAATTCTTCTCCCACCTCCCTGTAACATCCTTTTAGATACTTGAAAACTGCTATCATGTCCCCTTTCAGTCTTCTCTTTTCTAAACAAGCCCAGTTCTTTCAGTCTTCTCTCATAGGTCATGTTTTCTAGACCTTTAATCATTTTTGTTTCTCTTCTCTGGACCTTCTCCAATTTCTCCACATCGTTCTTGAAATGTGATGCCCAGAACTGGACACAATACACCAACTAAGGTCTAATCAGCACAGAGTAGAGCAGAAGAATGACTTTTTCTGTCTTGCTCACAACACTCCTGTTAATGCATCCCAGAAATGTGGGGTTTTTTTGGTAACAGTGTCACACTGTTGACTCATATTTAGCTTGTGATCAACTATGACCCCCTACTAGATCACTTTCTGCAGTACCCCTTCCTAGACTGTCGTTTCACATTCTGTATGTGTGAAACTGTTTCTTCCTAAGTGGAGTACTTGGAATTTGTCCTTAATAATATAAAACAAATAGTCTAGCAGCAGTGGCAGCCCGTCAATACACGCGACCTAGGCGGTCACCTAGGGTGCCAAGAAAAACAGCCGTTGAGGGCTTTGGAGGCGGGAGAGCCGATCGCCCACCAATCACACATTTCACCTAGGGCACAAGTTGCCGGCAGCTCATCTAGGGCTGCTCCTGTCTAGCAGCGCTTTAAAGACTAACAAAATGTGTAGATGGTATCATGAGCTTTCGTGGGCAGAATCCACTTGTTGCGGGTTGTGCCTACATATTTTGTTAGTCTTTAATGTGCTCCTAGACTATTCATTGTTTTTTAAATTTTTCAGTTATAGAATAACTTGACTGCTCCTGAAACCCTTAATAAACCTCATCCTATTTACCTCAGACCATTTCTCCAGATCATTTCGAATTATGATGCTATACTTCCAATCCCTCCCTGCTTGGTATCATCGGCAAACTTATGAAGCGTTCTCTCTATTCCAATATCTAAAATGTTGATTAAGATATTGAACAGAACGGTCCCAAAACAGATCTCTGAGGTATCCCACTTGTTATGCCCTTCAAGCATTACTGTAAATAACTACTCTGAGAATGGTTATCCAGACAGTTATACACCTACCTTACAGTAGCCCCATTTGGGTTGTATTTTCCTATTTTATTGATAAGAAGGTCATGTAAGACAGTATCAAATGTTTTACTAAAGTCTAGGTATACCATGTTCACTGCTTCTCCCTAATCCACAAGGCTTGTTATCCTATCAAAATAAGATATCAGATTGGTATGATATAATTTGTTCTTTACAAATCCATGCTGGCTGTTACCTATCACCTTATCATCTTCCAGATGTTTGCAGATGAATTCCTTAATTACTTGCTCCATTATCTTCTGTGGCAAAGAAGTTAATCTGGCTTTATAATGAAAACATACATTCCTCTACGTATAATGTAAATTTCTGTGTATATAATGCATGTATGTTACCAACACAGAGTCACTGTATCTATATTGATATATTCCACACAGATTTTATGATTGAGTAGATTACCCAGTGCTGTTTGTGTCCCTAAAGGCAGAGGGCTCGGAGTGTGGGCATGCAGAAATCAGGTGAGGGAGTGCAGGGGTCAGAGCAGGGGTTTGGGAGGTGCAGGATGGGGCTGAAGGCAGAAATATACAGGATGCAGGTGTTGGGGAAGAAGGTTGAATGGAGGCGAGTTCAGGCAGAGGGTGAGAATGTGGGGTTCCAGGAGTCAGGGAAGGAATTGGGAGGTATGGAGAGGCTCAAGCCAGGATAATGAGTGGTACAGAAGTCAGGGCTGGGGATAGGAGACTCAGGGAAGGGTAACCGGCTGGAAGCTGCTCCGTGGGGCCAGCCTGGGCAGTGAGGGCTGCTCTGGCTGGCTAGTGGCTGCTGCTTGGGACCAGCAGAGGGTGGTGGGGACCAGGGCTGGACTAAGGAGTGGGTTAGCTGGGCAGCTGACCAGGGCGCCAACCTATTGGGGGTGCCTGGCTCCCAGTGAGCTGCAGCAGCCGCCCAGGGTGGGGACCGTGTTAATCCCAGCAGCACAAGCCAGCAGCGCCCTTCCCCCCACAGCCACAGGGCCCTGCACGGCCAGGCGCAGCCCGCTCCGGGCGGTCCCGAGCTGTGCACCATCAGTGGTGGATGTGCCATATGGGCCGTGCGTCCGCCCACACGCCCTGGGGGCGGGCCCGCACATGCGTTGTGTGCCTGGAGGCAGGGTTGCGCATCCCGGGGGCGGGCCCGTGCATACGCCATGTGCCTGGAGGCAGGGCCGTGCGCTATGGGGGCGGCGCCAGGGCCCGGGGGTCTGGGGCACCAAAATGGCTCAGGCCAGCCTTGGTGGGGACTGTGCTGGATGGCCTGCAGCAGCTCCCTGACACCAGGGCAGAGGCTGTGCTGCCTGGTCGGCCTGCAGCTGTTTCCAGAGGGTAGGGCACTAGCTGTACCTCTGTGGTCATTCTGAGGTAAAACTGTCTCTGGTATCAAAGCCCTCCCTTTCCATTTGATGAGAAACAATAGGATTCCAGGAACATCCTATTCTCCCGGCACAACGAAACCCTAACCTTCCTTTACGTTATGATCAGAGGGCGCTGCATATGGAATTTGATGGTCCTAGCTCTTACTGTTTAGGAGGAGTTTTTGAACAGACACACAGACAGGCATCCACACAAACTTTCTCAAATATAAAGTAGACTAAGGGATAGATTGTGAAACTGCTCTGCTTAAATCAATGGGGCTTCACTTGCTGCAAAGGTTTTCTTCTAAGTAGACCTGGTTATAGCATGAGGGCCCAAATCTGCATAAAGTATGCCAAGATAAATGAAATTTTATGGATCAAGATGACAGTTTAAAATAAATACCACAGAATAGAAATATAGGATTGTGTAGCTGCATGAAAGGAGAATGCTTAGGTATTTGGACCTACAGATTGAAACTTTCTGGTCCGGGACTCTGTGGTCCAGCAATATCTGTGGTCTAGCAATATCTGTGGTCTTGCAGAACCTCAAATGTTACCAAACCTGAGAGACCCTGGACCAGAGAGCCGAGATTGGATGGGAGTTCAGTGGCAGAGGGGCCAGCAGCCAGAAGTCCAGCTGAGTCCAGGAGCAAAGCTGGTTTGGTGATCTGGGCAGGGAACTGGGAGCCCAGCCAGGGCCAGGAGTGGAGGTGGTTGGTTGGTCACCAACTGAAACCTGGCCAGGCTTGGAAACAGAGTCTTCCGGTAGCCAGGGTGGAGCTGGGCTGGGAGGACAGCTGGGAGACAGGTGGCTAGAGTCTGGATGGGGCTGGGAACAGAGCTGGGCTGGCAGCCAGGGAGCAAGAGGCCCGGCCGGTGCCAAGAGCAGAGCCCAATCTGCACCTC